AAACTTAATATAAAAGGCTATCGTACCGGTTTCTGGTGGTCTTGTCCTCGCTTTTATCCGTCTTGATTTAAGTATTGTTACACGGCGCGCTCTCGCACGACAACAAACATCCTTAGGAGGTCGTGAATTCAATAACGCACGTAATTCATCAGATATCATGTTTTCATATGCCGCGATAACACGTGTTCGATTAATCGACTCCATGCCTAGAAATTATGAATATATATTAATCACAACGGAAAATATAATATGTCACTACAACTTAATTACGCGTGTGTGGGCGTTTTTATTAATCAAATTAATAAATCATGTGAGATAAGGGATTGTTTAGGTGCTAGTGTAAGAAAATATGGTAAATTGTTTAGGTTTTAGTGTAATAAAATATGGTAAATGTTGAAATTAAAAAATTCAATAAAATTATAAATGCTAAGAAAATAATAATAAATCATCTTCTAAACAAAATTGCAAGAAAATAAGAAATCAACGAACATCATCACTCCATGGCATTCTCCTTGCGTGTGATGATAGGTACTTGGTCGTTTTCAGGATTCCTGACATCCAATTTAGAACACCATAAACAGTAAATGTTCAGTCGCCAACTTTAGAGTTTTGATTGTAAACGGGGAAAAAACAAAAAATACTTACCAACAAAGCATTTCGTCGGTAATACTGAGATTCGGATTCAACATAATCCTCGTACATCCTGAAACGTTGGTACATCTCCACCTACGTTCCTGTGATAGCTCTAATTTCACAAACCTGATAATACATATCACTGTGTTACGTGAACGACGCTTCCATAAGTCATAGAACTCGACTGCAAGGTCACCCGTCAAACTATACTCTAGATGGATACACCTAATTTTAAGATTTGAAGAAGTCGTAAGACTTTATATTCTGGTTTAAATCTTTAAAAAATAGTGACTTACTCAGTATCACGTAAACCAAAGTACAACTCAAAATATCCTCCGTGAGAATGTTCCACGGAAGGAACAAAAACCAACTCTCTCACGTTGATCACAACTTTGCCAACAACATCTATGAAACACACACATGAATAATACAGTCAGAACATGAATCGTAAATAAACTCCAAAAGCACAAATAAATACATAAATTAGGCTTACCAACGCAAATATTCGGGTTAACAATACTACTCAATATACTCACAAACTCAGTTAGATTGAAATAGGTTCTACTGGAGCACATATTAATACTTTGCACTAATGTGTCCAAACGAAACACAATCTTGAATCTATGCGGTACTGGTCTCAAGATGCTGTTAACCCGTGATACATCAAAATTTTTAATACTCACCCACTCATCGACTATCAATCTTGAAAAATAATTATCAATTAATTCATCACGAACAACGGCTTGAATTTGGGTGAACTGCAAATTAAATGTTAAAGAAAAAATCAATTCAATTTAATATCGAAAACATGTATAGAAGGTAAGTTATTAAAAAACTAACATGCTTGTCACCCAAAATCATATTGAGCTCTCTATCCGAGCCACGCGAAACAGACCAACAATTCAAAATCTTCACCGAAACAGACCACTCACCCATGTTAGGGTTAAGAGACGCAATATCAAAATAACCAGCATCACATGAATCAGAGGTAAAAGGTATCATTGTAGAACCCATACCAAAAGATTACTTGGCTAAACAATCCAATGAGAAATAAATGCGCGATACGTATATGTAGACCTAACGATTATTTGGAAAGAAAGGCAAGAATACTATGAATAGTTTTACCCAAGAAGGCCATGATTGTGCCAGATTGAGACATTAGGACAATTGCGAGCAAAATGACCAGGTCGCTTGCTGCACGTATTACTTTGGCTGCAAGAGAGAATTAAATGTAGCAACAAAGAAGCAAATTAGTTTAGCCTACTCAATTAAAGAACTCCTTAGTATATATGAAATACCCTTTTGATGAGAATTTATCAAATTTGAGACTTTAAGAAGAGAAATGAGAAAACTAAAACTTAGAAGTGAATCTCCTCGATAAGGATCATTACGGTAAGCAAAACGATCACTACGAATCTTCCTGCCCACTGGATTCCTGCTCCCTCTCTCTATACTCAGTACTGTTTCTTTCTTAGGATCATGAAGTACATTAAAATTCTGCTGCTCAACATTTCCGAAAATAGACATCCCATTAGAACTTCCCATAGTCATCAACTGGTAAACTCCTCCTTCAATACCTTATATGCAGTCTCCTCGAGCTAAATGATGATCGTGCTTGAGTCAATGATCATTCATTCGGTTCCATCTTCGTCGTTTCTAGCCATGGATATATTCGGTAGTGATGTTGGTGGGCGGAATTGAAGGAAGAACCATTGAAACCACATGTCGAGATTGATGCATCTTTCAATTCACCAATCAAAACTAAAACAATCAAACCCTAAAGTCTCCTCTCACGATTGTAAGAAAAAATTAAGGTGATTGAATTGTTTAAGAGCCCAATATCTATTTAACAATTTCATCAAGATAGACATACCTCTGCAATCTCGACATCGATTTCGTTTTTTAGAGAACTCTATTTTTCCCGAGCTTCAAAAGATATTCAATGTGTTTTAGAAACCAAATTAATGTTAGGGTTTCTAACAGCCAAAAAGGAAGGCATATAAATAATTTTTAATAAAATACAAATATATATAATTAGATTAGAGACTACCTTCTTGTAGTCATCTAACCAAAAAAAAACTCATAAAATAAGAGATATTAATATACAAGAAACTACATGTTTATATTGGATCGATGTAAACCTAGCAATAATATATCAAATATCTCATATAAATAAGTACACCACAAAATTATTTATACGAAGCCCAATCCAAAATTATCTGTTTCTTTGCTAATGTCTTTGCCGTGAGTAAATGATTGGTTTTCTGAATCTCAAGTCTCTGTCTAAAGACTGGTAATGTTTTAATTTGTGGGTTATTTTTGTCTAAAGACTGAAACAACACATCGAACATGATCCATGTCTAGAGATTTCCAAGCCGTGGGTACCAAGAAGGATCAATGTTCGAATCACTCTCAGTCTAAAGACAACGTTTAAAGTCATGGGTACCATTATCCTTCAACCAAACATGACCCAATCCGATCTTTTGTCTTAAGGATTGGTTTTTTCGAATCTCAAGTCTCTATCTAAAGACATATGATGTTTTAAGCCGTGGGTACCATTTTCCTTCCACCAAAACATAAGCCAATCCGATCTTTTGTCTTAAGGATTGGTTTTTTCGAATCTCAAGTCTCTATCTAAAGACATATGATGTTTTAAGCCGTGGGTACCATTTTCCTTCCACCAAAACATAAGCCAATCCGATCTTTTGTCTTAAGGATTGGTTTTTTTGAATCTCAAGTCTCTATCTAAAGACATATGATGTTTTAAGCCGTGGGTACCATTTTCCTTCCACCAAAACATAAGCCAATCCAATCTTTTCTCTTAAGGATTGTTTTTTTTCCGAATCTCAAGTCTTTGTCTAAAGACTTATGGTGTTTAAAGCCATGGGTAACTGTTTCTTTGTCTAAAAACTGAAAAACCATACCGAACATGATCAATGTCTAGAGATTTTCAAGTCGTGGGGACTAATGTTTTGAGCCGTGGATACCATTTTTCTTCTACCAAACATAAGCCAATCTCAGTCTCTGGTCTAAAGACTGGTGATGTTTAAGCCGTGGGTACTGTTTCGTTGTCTAAAGACTGAAAGAACAAAACGAACATGATCCATGTCTAGAGATTTTCAAGCCGTGGGTACCATGAAGGATCAATGTTCGAATCAGCCTCAGTCTAAAGACTAATGTTAGAAGCCGTGGGTACCATTTTCCTTCCACCAAACATAACCCAATCCAATCTTTTGTCTAAAGAATTGGTTTTTCCGAATCTCGGTCTCTGTCTAAAGACCGATGATGTTTTAAGCAATGGGTAACTTGATCTTTGACCAGTAAACTGAAACCAATCCCAAGTACATATGTCGAAATAATAAGCCGTGGATAAAGGATCGGTTTTCAGTCTCAAGTCAAAATTTCCCATAAGCCATGGGTCCAAACTCGACGGGACAATGTGCCAAAGAAAGATTCTAACAAACACATGTTAAGCTGTTGATCTAATCTCATTACCGATCATTGAGCGTGTCGCAGTGAAAAAATAAGAAAGAAATCAAA